GGGGGTGGGGGGGGGCAGGCGGAGGGTGTCCAGAGATGTGGGGGGTTTGAAGGTAGACGGCGTGTTACGACATTACGACAAACGGTGGTGAGAATGCTGAGATCTCTCCACTTCACAGAGCGTGCATATTTTTAGTGACCTTAAAAAGAACACACGCAGTATTCTTAGCTCACTGTTTACAGCTTCTTTCTCTAATATAAATTAACATTGTCTGCTCAAACAGGTTATAACCTACATGCAGGTTTTTTGCACTGAAAGACCGACACATCGGAGCCAGATGTCACTCACAAAGACCTGGCACGGTGGCACTGCATGTGTCTGCACAGGAATGAACACTAACTCAAAGTCTGACTGTATCTCCAACACAAATGATTAAATTAAAAACATTTCATCATGAACTGAAATCTAGGGCCAAATCAGATCTTGATGCGTCAGCGAAAATATTTGATCTTTTCGTGGTTTTTACTTTCCCTAAAATTGCTGAACGAAGTTTTGTTACTGTTCAAAATGCCTGGTTTATTTAAAGTTGTTAAAGAAATGACCTGGATTCATGAAAGATCCACAAATGTGGTCTCAGCCTGCAGGCTTCAGTCTTCAGTGTTTTGTTTTGAACATTTTCTCGCTGAGAGTCGGTGTTTTTTTTGTCTGTCACTGTGTAGTTTAGGGTAAAGATTGTCCCGACCTTAAAACCCAGTTTCTCTAAAGCACTTGAAGTCCTTCCAAAAAGACGGAGAAGAGTTTTATTTTTCTCTGAAGCTCTGAAGAGAAATATTTCTGTCATCTCAGAGTGAATTAAAGAGTGAGCTACGGGCGTAATAAAAATGAATACATTTTAACAGTTGCCGTGGTGCGGTGAGGCCATAAACTGAAAAAGTAAATAACCGCACTGTTTATATCTCATTTTTTATGGTATGATTTAAGAGTTTTTCATTGAAATCCATCAGCATTAAATCTGATAAAGCATCACTCACTAAACCGACTGTTTAAGTAAAACAGTGATAATCACCGGTTACTGACAAAGACCATATATTAGTTTAAAATTACAGACCCATTCATCATCGTGACACGTGTTGTTGCCGCCTAATGGCTGCGCTTATCTCAGGGAAACAAAGGCAGAATCACAACTCTGCCTCAGTATATATATTTATATGTGTTTGATTATATTTTCTGGGGTTGTCCGCCATATTTCTCAATAGAAATTCTGGCATATTAGAATGTAGTACACAAGTGAGTACAGTAGGTTCATGGTAAATACTGTAGAAGAACTTCAAGTGGTTGATAGGACACAAAATGTTACCACTAGGAACAAAATGAGTAATATGTTTGCTAAAATATATTATAAAAATATATTATAAATATATTCTAAAATATATTTTTAGGTTAGTTACACTGTAAAAAAAAGCTTAAAAAATCAGTTTACTACTTACAGTATTTACTTATTTAAAATGTAACGACCTCTTTGCAGAATCACCTAGGACCACCTAAAGGCCGCTGCCCCCCTGTTGAACCCCCGTGCTTTCAATAATACTAAGTGGTGATTAAAAAGTACATCTAAATCATATACTCCTTAGTTTTTTAGTTTTTTTTTTCTACAGTACTAATCAGTATTTGTATTTAACAGATTTTCTTTCCTAAAACATCCAGGTTTTGTGTTTCTATTGTCCCTCAGCTCACTCCAGTTTGAGAACCCTGCTTCAGCAGATTATGTAGTCCTTAATATTATGACACAGGTTAACAGGTTAATTATAGAATCCCTGGTCTGGTCGTAGGAGGTTCCCCAAAGACTCCTCTCCTGTGATGGCCTTTTTACTCTGTGCCATAAAGATTTTATAAGACATTTGTCTTTTTTTAGGGAAGCTCCGAGTCTGCGTTCTCCAGATCGTAGGAGAGTGAAGTACATAATGTTGGTAAAGGAGTTTATATGAGAAGAGTTTTCTTAGTCTGAATGCATTTCAGCACCTGGTGACGAGGACTGGACTCCTGCGCCTTTCCTCACAGTGCTGTGTCCACGGACTTTATAAATAACCAGCAGACGATCCTCCCACGATAACTTTAACTCTGAATTTAAAAAACAAAGACATATTTAACACCTTACTTGATTTCTGTAAAAGAAATTTCTTTTTCTTGCTTTTCTCATTAACACCAGATTGTTTCGTGTCTTCAGGTGCGTTCACCAGCAGTCAAGAATGGACCATGAGTCCAATCCTACAGGAGCTCCACCTGGTAGGTGTTGATACACGAGTCACCTGATCCAACGACAACAACAACAACAACAACAACAACAACAACACCTTATCATCTTACCCTCTCTCTTCCGTGCAGGGTGTTTTTGGAGGCCTGTGCAGTGGGAAGTCCGCTCTGGTCCACAGGCACATGACAGGAAGTTACCTGGCAGTGGAGAACGCCGAGGGTCTGTGTCTGAACTTCTTCATCATCCAGTAGATTGTCTTTATTAAAATTAAAGCAGGCAAAGTGTTTTTAATTGGAAATCTTTACTTGTATGAATATATTTATATATAATATGAAATATTTGTAAAAAAAATTTTACCAAATCCTTTTAAGGGTTTTATGGATCTACTGTTACCGTAGCGATTTAAACTTGTGCACGTAGTCTTAGAAAAAATGAACCAATTCAGCGACTTTTACAATTAGAAGCTGCACACGTGTCAACGCTCGTCGTGTTCCTCCTGGAGTTCAGCGTCTCATTGTCCTCATGGGCAGTTTATTCAAGTAGGTCAACAATGTCAGCAGTTTGGAGGTGTTTTAACTTCAGGGGCGAGGGCAGAAGAAAGGCTTGCTGTGAGATCTGTTCTGTTACGATACAAACAATTCAACAAAAAAAAACCTGAAGTTGCACCTCAGCTCTGAAGAGTTGGTATTAATAGATCGTCAAATGTGACCCTAGAGGTTTGGTTCGACCTCGCACCAATACACTGAACGTCATCCATTATCTCACAGAGCTGTGCCACTGATTACAGTTCGTTGCACTTACTTACTTATAATAAAAAAAACTTGAAAATACTCCTGTGGTTTTGTAAAAAAAAAAGAAAAATTGGCATGAAAACGACCCTAGTTTTGAATTTTTTGAGATTTAGTTAATGAGGTGCGACCCTAGTTTTTAATTTTTTGAGATTTAGTTAATGAGGTGTAGTTCCTGCAGGCACCGATGAGTCATGACTCACCGCAACATCACAGAAAATGATCTGCTTCTGCACTGTAAAGAATTCATGTCTAGTACTGGATGAAAGGAGCATCCTCATTGGAGGGCAATCAGGGGAATCCAAAGTTGGCTGTGATTTGACTAGCACATGATTAGGGAACCGATGGATCCCAATAAAATCTTGAGGTTTTGTTTTCTTGCCACATCTGCAGGACGTCAGTACATCAAGGACGTCCTGGTTGATGGACAGAGCCACCTCCTGATTATCAGGGAAGAGACAGAACTGCCAGACGCTCAGGTGCGTCAGAAACTGAAGACCAACTCAATCCTTTTCGTCTCTAATCTCAGTTCATTCTCACGAGTTTCCTGATGTCCCGTTCCTCTTCCTCTTCCTCTTCCTCAGCTTGCAGCCTGGGTGGATGCAGTCATCCTGGTGTTCAGTCTGGAAAACGAGGCCAGCTTCCAGGAAGTTTACAAGATCTACCACCAGCTTGCACTCCACCGGCCTATCGCTGAGATACCATTCGTAGTAGTTGGCACTCAGGGTAACACACACACACAGACACACACACATCTGTGTTTTCAGTGTGAACAGACGAGCTGTGGTTTATTGTGTTAACTCTTTAACTCAGACAAGATCAGCAGCACCAATCCCAGAGTTATCGACGACGCCAGGGCCAGACAGCTGTGTTCTGACGTCCGCCGCTGCACTTACTACGAAACCTGCGCGACCTACGGCCTCAACGTGAACAGGGTCTTCAATGACGGTACCGTTGCAGTCACGGGTCGTCGCACAGCAAAACCCAGATTCCTGAAGGTTGGGCTTTAGTTTCTGTTTTCTGTTCCACAGCTGCCCAGAAGATCATGGCGGCCAAGAAACAAGCTGCTCTGCTGGCTTCCTGCAAGTCTCTGCCCAACTCCCCCAGTCATTCTGGAGGATCCACCCCAGTGTCAGGCGTCTTCCCTGGACAGGTAAAACCTTTCAAGTATTTCATGTACATCTTGTTTGAACGTGAGAGACAGGAGTCTTTTCCCCTCTGCCTGGCAGCTCTACCTTCAACGTCTTTTTGCCACATATTTAGTCCATCTCTAAACCATCTGAGTTGAGTTTTCTAATACTATCTCATGACATAAACATCTTTCCTGACCTGATCCCTGATGTAGCTCTCACCCTGGTCTGAACCCATCTGTCCTTCTGACTGCACCTCCCAACAAGAAGACGTTAAATTGTGTAAAAAACATAGAAATTGAATGGTCGATAGTCGATTTTTTTAAATAGTTTTTTTTCCAACTTTTACTGTAGCCCCTGTTTTGTTGATTATTGTAGACCTCATTTTAGACACTTAGAACTGATGATTTGTCCTTTTACAGTTTTGCTATAAAATATTTCAAAATGTCAAATGACTAATAATCTTCAGCTGAGTTAATGAGGACCAACGTCCACAGTAAACTGGTTAAAAGATGTGAAAAAAAGAGAGAGAAATATTTCCTTCAGAAAGCCGACCGACTGCTGTGACTGTAACACTCCTCTGGTTTACGGTGTGTTTTGTACATTGTACAGAGTTCTTTTTCTCCACTGTTGTGAATTGTGTGAAGTACCTGACACTGGATGGCTGTAAAGTGGATATTTTTAGACATCTTATCAGACAATATTGCACACTTGACTCCAGATATGTTCCTCAAAAGATGCTTTTTTTTTTTTAATAGTTTTTTTTTTCAGCTCGTCTCCCTTTCTTCTCCTCTCTTTAGGCCAGTAACGGTGGTCAGAGCAGCGACTACTCCTCCTCACTTCCCTCCACTCCTGTCATCAGTCATAAAGACATTGGCAGAACAGCCAGAGGGGAGAAACCAGACAGTGCTGCGCCAGGCTCTGCCCGCAGTGCCACCAGGAGACGCACACCACGGTTTGCGGTACAGATTCTTAATTAACAATTGATTAAATATTGAAAGTCTTTTGTCTTCATCTGCTTTTCAGTTTTTTCTCTTCCTTCATCACAGCCACCACTCATTAAACCACATTAAAGAATCTGTCAGCAGTTGAAGCGAAGAGTCAAATTAATCATTTTATAAAAATGATTTGCTTATTGTTATTTTTGCATAAATACTTGAAAAAGGATCCCAGATTAATAATAATAACGTGATAATTATAGTTTAGATTTAAAAAGTATTTATTCTTCTCTTTTTCATTTCTAGAGATAATAATCTTATATTTATTCAGTATCTAAGGGCAAAACTCCTACCTCACAGTTTTATATTTTTCCTTTATCGCTTTGTTTGTCTTTGTCTCTTGTGTCAAAACTCAACTTTACTGGAATGAAAAATAATAATTCATGATATTAATGAGTTTAATTGGTATTACACCAGACATTTCTTTATTGAAAACAAAACAAAAAAACATTTAGTAATAAAGCTTCTACCCAACTGACACTTAGTCTAAATTAATATTTCCTTTATTTTTTTTTTCTGTTATGCATAAAACAGAAACTGTATTTTACTGATTGTTTTCATCTGCATTAATTCATAAAATCACTTTCCTGTGTTTTTAATTATATTTAAGCCTCTGATCATTACTGATACGAAGTCATTCTTTTCTCTCTCCAGGGTCGGAGAGGCAGCGACTCCAACAGAAGGAGTGCAGATTATAAAGGCGATCTGGGCGTAGGGCGCTGCATCCCCACTAAACAGGTACAGCACAGAATGTACACATGTACAGAAGGCAGGGAAACGAATACTGCACCAAGAACGTGGTAATATCTGAGAGCCATCCTTCACTGCAGCGATCACATGACATCTAATGTGTGATTGCACGTCTGTGGGGTGATGAAGTGTTATGGTCTCTGTCGTTTGGCCTCTCTCTGTGACTGTGAAGCTGCTGGTCCTGCTCAGTCTCAGGTCTTAGCAGCGAGGACAGGATAAAAACCTGGCCGTTAAATTCTCCTTCTTCTTCTGTCTTCTTCCTTCTTTTTGGTCAGGGCCTCCTTCTGCAGCTCAGCCGCCGCCACCAGGAGTGGAAGAAGAAGTACGTGACACTGACCAACGATGGCATTCTGTCCTATCACGCCAGCGTCAATGTGAGTCACTGAAGAGGTGAGGAACCAATGAAAAGGCTAGGATCTAATGCTAAAGGCTTGTGTCTGCTGTGGCAGGACTACATGCTCAACACTCCAGGAGATGGCCCGGCTGCGGGTGCCCGTCAAGGTGCCGGGAAAACGACCGCCACGCGCTGTACCCACTGGTGGTCCTCCAGCTGGACTCAACGGCCGGGTCAAAGACGTGCTGGGGTCGGAGGGTGTCAACCCAGGTCCAGGGTTTTTTTAATCTTTTCTTATTTATCTTTTATTTTATAGGGTTTTGAGACAAGTATTAGTACTAAACAGTAGCTTTGGAACTCTCCTCATGCTAAAGGTGTAAGATTATCATTGCTGGTCTAAATCATGTCAGAATATGTAACAATATAATATGAATATGTATTTTGAATAAAAGTATTAATTTATATGTAGATTTGATTCAATGGCAGCACACAATAAGATAAAAAAAAAACAACCGAATATGACATCATCAGTGACCTAAGATGTGTCAATATCAATTATTTTGATTTGTCATTTGTCAACATTGACAGGAAACAAAGTTGAATTTCATATGTAAATATTTAGTCTTTATTTAAAATGATGTAAACTAAACATGGAAATTCATGATATTTTTCATGTCATAGAAAAATGCGTCAACAGAAGTTGCTGAAAAACATTAAACTCAACTGCCTACTGTTGATCGATATTGAGATCCATACTGAGCTCAATATAAGCAGCGTGCTGTTTCCCCGACAGCTTTATATTTCTTTTTTATTTCCAGAGCAACAGACAAGACACGCATAGATGTTATAAATGAAATGTAAAAGTTGCCAGTCTGTTAAAAAGCTGGGCTGAATAAATGTAAAAAACTTGGTTTCTCTGGCGCAGCATCTTTCCTCAGTGTCAGTGAGAACAAAAACTAGAGAAGAAAACGAAGCACCAGAAGGGACTCGCCATAATTGTCAAGAATACTTGTAAAAAGACTATTTAGAATGTCGTTAGTAATGCTCTTTTCCTTTCCCAGACTACTTCTGCATTTTCAAATCCCAGCAGCTTAGTCTTTCTACACATCGTGTCGGACTAAACGACTCCTTTGCTAAATCCTTACTTGATTTGCTCCCTTTAGTGCCTGTAAGTGCCAGCAGCCTCCTGCAAGTGGAGGAGATGGAAGGGCTGGGAGGAGCGCTCTTCCTGAGGAGTAACAGAGGAGTTCAGCGGTGCTCCTCCTCGGCATCGAACCACGCTCAAACTGTTGGTCAGTACCAGACACACACTGATCCCTCAATATATGACTTTGTTTTTTTCACCACAATCAAACAATCCTGACTAACGTGTCTTCTGTGGTCAGACTCTGCACTTGAGGGAGTCTCCAGTTCCTCCTCCACCAAAGACGTGGGCTCCGCCTCCCCCCTGACTGACAGGAAGAAACACTGCAGGAAGAAGAGCATGAACCAGAAAGGAGACGCAGCAGCTGGTCAGGCCGACGGTAAAAACACAGTGTTGGGTTTAAAGGAAAGATTGGATTTCACTCAGATTCTGTTTGTAATTCACTAGATTGACAACTCAAGGAAAGATTGGATTTCACTGAGATTCTGTTTGTAATTCACTAGATTGATAAAAGTATGAATGACTTTCATTTTTATACGAAGAACAAAAGAGTTGTTCATTTAATAATTTCTATTTATTATTCTGACTTTGTGAAATCTTTCTGTGTAGCCAAGCGCAAAATGTGGAAACTGAAAAGCTTTGGCAGCTTGAGAAACGTCAGCAAAACAGGTATTGAAATCTGTCTCTGTATTACAGTAGGAATAAACGAATTATTAGATAAACCGTCCTGTGTTGAGATGATTTTACAAAATTTTATTCTGATTTATTTTCAAAGTTACCTCTTTCATCACAGCAGTAGTTCTAGTCTCTAACTTCGCAGTTTCCTGTGGTTTTGGTTTTTAAAGCTAACAAATGTGTACGATTCTGGTGTTTGTTCAGATGAGGACAACTTTGACTTCCTGGTTGTGTCCAGCACTGGTCAGACCTGGCACTTCGAAGCCCCCAGTGTGGAGGAAAGAGACTCCTGGGTCCAGGCCATTGAAAGTCAGATCCTGGCCAGTCTGCAGCTGTGTGAAAGCAGCAAAAACAAGGCAGGGAACAATTATTCTTGTTAACACATACATCAAGCTGGTCTGATTTGCTTCAAATCCCCTTGAAAAGAGATGCAAATCCATCCCATAAAATGTACAAAAATAGATCAGTTAACACACAGAGAGAGAAGGACGGTGGATATTATGGTAAAAGTCAAGATGTTCCTTCTGTGGTATAATGTCTTCTATAATATACCTGCTCGCAATGAGGTTAGACGTTCACCTGAAGTTTTTTTATGCAAAGCAGGCGCTGCAGCACAGTATAGTCATGTTGGCATGAAATTGCATCTGCTTTTCCATCTGCTCCAACCAACACTTTACTGCAAGTCAACACCATAACTTTGGTAGCCGCAGGCAGATGCCGAATAAAATTTTGTGGAGCACTGATCGTGTCAGCGGTGAGATCTTATTTTTGTTGAGGAAAAAAATCAAAAATTTTAAGATTTTTATTGAAACCTTTTACTTTTATTTGCCTACAATATTTTGAGGGCTGTTATCCTGTGTTGGTGGATAAAAAAGGAAATAAAGTCTACCTTTAAATAAAGATGTCGAAGCACAGGCCAATCTGAGTGACTTCAAATAGAACAGTAACCGTCCAGGGTAGATAACGATCCTGAGGCTTTTTTTTTATTTTTTTTTGTCCTCTTTCCAGCGGTGAATCTGAATGAATCACTATTTTATCATCGCTTTTTCAGCCAAGGGTTTTTAAAACTAATGAGGCGAGTGAGAAGAACCGTCATTCATTCATTCATTCATTCATTCATTCATTCATTCATTCATTCATTCATTCATCTACTGCTGGTTGACACGTGGAACTCCGATCCTACCACTTATGAACTCGTGACCTACTATACAAATCTGTCAGAGTATATTTTTATATATATTTTAGTCACTTTAGTTTGGCTGTAAATTAATACAAATTTTTATCCACAATGTGCTTTGTAGTGGTCCATGTAAAACAAATTTTAAAAAAAAAATATTTAAATTTTTTTTTAAAAGTTAAAAACAAATCTTATTTAAAAAACACAAAACTGTCACCACTCTATCCCTTTTACATTTAAACATTTAAAAAAATTTCAAATACAGAAATTTTATTTTGAAAAAAAGTAATTTTTTTGCACATTCCCCAAAAAAAAAAAAAAAAAGAGTTCCAACCCTCCCGCTACTGACATAACGACCAGAAGGTAAAAAGAACGACATTAGTCTACCAATCAGCATGGCGAGACAATAAGAATTATTGCTCCGTATTTGGCTGCAATTTTAACGGCATTTTAAAATAAATAAGTACTGTAAGCTAATAAGCTAATGGGAGCGCCACAGATCATTTTAAAGATTTATGTTGTTGACAGTAAATTAGGTAAATTAGTTATTAAGTCTTACTAAGTGTCCTTGCTGGCGTTGGTGGTCCTCCTGGAGTTGGATGTAAAGTTGGATTCTGAGATTTTACGGAGATTCGACATAAAGACTAGAACAGAGAAGTTCATCTTCTCTGTCAAATATAAGGTTGTGATTAAACAGTGATATTATTTTCCACATAATCGCAGGTGTTTATGTCCCCGCCGTGGGAGTCTTTAGCTCAACGTACTCAACGCTTACTGCTGCTGCTAAACCTGCCAAAACCGGTTCTGTGTTTCATTTCTCCAAATTCTGTCCTGATTCTTACTCTGTTTTACGCTCTGTTGTGTGGCTGCGGAGGGCTGGCCCACAACAGCGGGGAGTTTATCTTCCAGACAGATATCCAGGGTTTAAACTCAGCTAAGTGTGAACTCGTCCTTGGGTCAAACACTTAACCCCCCCCAGTTGTCCATCAATTATTATCAACATGGTGCTAGTCTCACGCTCACATCATCTCTCAAGGTTAGGTCAAGGAATATTACCAGGTGTTGAAAACTGAGCAATGTTTTAATACATACTACTGGCTGCTGCGGCGGCGGCGGCGGCAACCCCTGAAGGGTCCTTAGTATATATACATATAAATATAAACATTATATATATGTATATGTGTATAAATATATATATAAATATATATCTATATATATACACACATGTAAACATATAAATATATATTTGTATAAATATATATATACACATATATAAATATGACCATATATTTGAAAAATTTGTCTGTGTGCATATACTGTATATGCATATATATATGTACAGTAGATATATGTGTGTGTGACTATATACACTATATATAAATATGTCTGTGTACATATATTTATAAATGTCTGTGTGTGCACATATATATGTGCATATATATATATGTGTCTGCATATATTTATATAAGTGTGTCTATACATATATGCACATATATTTATATATGTGTGTGTGTGTGCATATATATATATTTTTAAATGTAAATTTTCTTAATCTTTTCTTTTTTTTTTATCTTTGTGTTTCCACAGGCTCGCAGAAACAGCCTGAGTGAAGCAGTTGCCCTGCAGGCGATCCGCAACGCAAAGGGCAACAACTTCTGTGTTGACTGTGATTCTCCAAGTCAGTACCAGAACTCAGTTCATCCATGTGTGTCCTGTTAGGGTTGGGTTATCATTTTAACTTTACAATTTGTGTCTTTTTTTTTAAATATTCTTGAGGTCATTTATTTTACGATTAATGAACGAGTTGCATTTAAGTAACATCACCTCAACATGTGTGTGTGTGTGTGTGCAGTATGTGTGTCACCTCAACATGTGTGTGTGTGTGCAGTCTGTGTGACTATATTCTCGATCCATGGAGGAAACGGAAGATTCATGTTTTTGTAGTTTGTAATTGCTACGTTTTCGAAGTGGAGTTGAGTTGAAATCGGCTGAATCGTTCAAAGAAAACTCATTAGCTAAATGCTTTATTGGAGCTAAATTGAGTTGTCATCTGAGCCCTGGAATAATTTTTCACTGACGTAAGTGAAAGTATCTGCCAAACGAACTGCCCCAATGTTAAGTCCAAGGTAAATGAAGCCGTTGAGACGGAACGTGCAAATACTGCTAATGCGTCTGCCTTCAGTCCTGAAGAGGAGACAATGGCTGCGGAGCAAACGAAGGATGAGGCTTTGTTTTATTTTTTTATTTAATCAGCATTATTTCACTTATACGGCTCATGATTAATAAAAGTGTCTGAGGAACCACTGGTCCAAACAGAAATTTATCGGCAAAATTTTCCTCTGATGCTGGAACTCTTTAAAGTGCCAGTGTTTAAGGGACACGGTATAAAGTCTGGCGACAGAGTTAACAGCTCAGATCTGTATCTCCACAGTCTTTAGTGTCTGACACTGTCCCAGCACAAAGAACTCCAGTCCAGGACTGGGAGTCAACCTGGTTTAGAGCTCTGGTGCTGGGAAGTCAAACCTGGAGAGTGACCTGGAGTCGAAATTACATTAGAAACTGACGTGACTCAAACTCTGGTCTAAGTCTCTGGTAATTTAACTTAGATTAAACTTTTCTTCTGTAAAGTCAGAGTCTACAGACCTAACACCCGGTTAAACTTTTCTTCTGTAAAATCAGAGTCTACAGACCTAACACCCGGTTGTTCTGGAATCGAACCTCTTCCTCTGTGACTCAGTTAAGACTCAAGTCAAACGTTTTCTCTTAGTCCAAGTCCAAATCATCAGGACATTAGAGCAACTTTTCACCCCAGAACGAAGCGTCTTCCTCTGTGACCCAAAACCAAGGTGACATAACTGGAACTTTGTTCTCAGACAGTGACTCAACTCTTGGTAAATTAACTTCATTTTTTTCCTCTGACTCTGCAACATTAACGTTTCAGATCCAAGCTAAAGTTTCTGCAACATTAGCTTGGATCTAAGTCTTACTTTTGTTCTGACGCCCGACCTTGGACTTACACTCTGGATGAAAACCTTTAACTTCTGTTCTATGTCTAAACATCAGACTTTGACACCAATACATCAGGATTTACTCAGATTTGAAGCTTCTTTTTTTTCTGTGTAAAGAATGTTTTGACCCAAACATTGTGGACCAGATTAAAAAACGTCTGGATCCTCTTTCTCTGACTGACTAACTCTGACTCAAAACCTAAAGGACTTAATCTGAACCTTTTTCTCTACCTCAGACACTGGCCTAAACTCTAGGGATCAACTTCAACTCAGACTCTTTTTTCTGGGACTCTCCATCTGAGCAGAATCCTAAGGGAGAGAAAAATAATTTCTCTGTTTCTGTGACTCAAAACCCTGGGGACTGATTAAAACATCTCTCTCTTGACTCAGACTTAAATCCAGACTTTCTCTCTCATGGACACTGCCTTCAGATTGTGAGGCTTAATTTTCTTATTTTTGGGACTACAAATGTGGATTCTAAATTAGGTTCTACCCCAAACGTTTCTTTGGTAACTTGGACTTGGACTTGGTCTGACACTTAAACACTGAGGATTTGACTACAACCATTCGTGACCACATCCTAGTTAAAGTTAAAATCACTCCCTTTTATTCATTAATATTCAGTTCTGGCTGAGCTTGGCTCTGATTTGTTGCGTTCACTCTACTTTTAAGATCCAACGTGGGCCAGCCTGAACCTGGGCGCTCTCATTTGTATCGAGTGTTCGGGGATCCACAGAAACTTGGGCACCCATCTGACCCGCGTCCGTTCACTGGACCTTGACGATCTGCCCAAAGAGCTGACTCTGGTCCTGAGTGCCATCGGCAACCACTTGGTCAACAGTATATGGGAGGCACGGACCCTGGGGAGACGTAAACCGACACCTGATTCCACACGGTGAGAACAAAGATGAGAGAAAACTGATTCATTCACCTGAACATGGGGTGTCAAACATATGACCCGTGGGCCAAAACTGTCCCGCTTGGGGTTTCAATCCGGCCTGCTTGATACATTTTGAAAAAAAAATACAGAAACACTTCATGTTCAGGAAATGTTTTGTAAAATTACATTTCATTATAATTAATTTAAATAATTATATTCACATATAATTAGGATTTGTCTAATACACTTGTTTTTACAGGAAAAACTTATTTTCCTTAGGAAAGACTTATTGTTATTTATAGGTAATTGCACTGGTCCGGCCCACCTCACACCTAATTAGGACGTGGCCTGTGAAACAAAATGAGTTTGACAGCCCTGTTCTAAGTCATAGTCTTGAGATTATTTTAATGTCACATAAAATGCTATTTCTGCAGCAGCTACGCACCTATCTAAACACACTCATGGCTTTATGCATTCCATTTCTGCCAATAAAGCCTCATAAATATTACACGCTGGTGCTAAAAGTGATTCACAGGAGGTAGGTTTTAAGCTGCAACCTTACAAAGACAGGAGCTGTAAATACGCTGCGCCTTTCTTTTTTCCCTGTTTCTCTTGGTTTTTCAGAGAGGAGCGAGAGTCCTGGATCAGAGCCAAATATGAGCAGAAACTGTTTGTGGCACCACTGCCTCCTCCCTCTCCCAGCGAGGGTCCAGACATCACACTCGCCGGCCGTCTCCTCATGGCAGTGATGGAGCACAACCTCCCCAAACTGCTGCTCCTTCTGGCCCACTGCTCTAAGGAGGACATTAATGCACCTGTTAGCCTGGCCCTGTCCTCCAGGTCCCTGTTAGCGCTGCGACTGCCCGGCTCCGCGCTGCACGCCGCGTGTCACCAGGGTGATGTGGTGATGACACAGCTTCTGGTTTGGGTGCGTTTCTTTTTCTCCCACCGCTGTTTATGTCAGTGTGCCAGTTCTGCCAGTTGTGATAAAGGAAACCACACAAAACAGTAGCACTTTGGAGGCGTGGACACAGAGATAATGACGTCGCAGAGACACAGAAACAACAAGCTCCGACGGGATTTCAGATTTTCTCCACGGCTGAGGCCGTGTTTTATGCACAAACCGTCTGAAATAATAACAATAATAGTTTTTATCCCGTTAACAATCAATCCAGCAGTGAACATTGAAGCAGACTCATCAGCTGAATTGACACTTACGCTGTGGGAAAGTCACTCAGGGTTATTGAGTCATGCCCTTGTACAATGGGTTCAAACAGTTAGAAAAGAAAAGCAGTTAAAAACATGCCAGGATAGAAAGAGAAGTCGCTGAGCTAACGTTGAGTTATCGCTGAGCTAGCGTTTAGCAATCACAATCACACTGTATATGCCATTTGTTGGCATAGCCTTTGCAAAATTTAGAATTTATTTTTAACGCGGGAGTTTATGAAATGTCGATGGTCAATCTATGATTTTCGCAAATATTTGCAAATTATTTCTTCTCACCCATAGAGAAAGGATTATTTTTAGTCATTCGTAACCAAATGATCTTTTGTTTTATCTTCAGTACGGCTGTGACGTTCGGTACCGAGACGCCCAGGGCCTGACAGCTTTGGCTTTAGCTCGCAGTGCTGGCAGCCAGGAGTGCGTCGACATCCTGCTACAGTACGGATGCCCCAATGAACCGACCCCCTCTATTGTCACAGCAGTCGGTTTTGCAGCAGCCACAACATCCAGCTTCCCTGTTGCCATGGCGCCGAGCTCGACGGTTGCCACGACACTCAAAATCTCGCACAAGAGCGGTGGCACCAGCTTGAGCTACAGCACCTCCAGAAGAGCAGTGTCATAATGGAAATAGAGTGTAATGTATGTGTGTGTGTGTGTGTGTGTGTGTGTGCGGGTGTAACCAAAAATGAAGTCGGACTTACTTGGGTGACAAACGTCATGGCGTCAGATTTATTAGGAATGTATTGCACTGTATACCAGCTAGTATGATTCATACTCTATACAACAGCAGTCGATATCCAACCACGGTCAAGTATCAAACACAGTATATTCACTCCCTTAAGAAACAAAACCTGCCTTTTCAAAAACAACCAATCAGCATCTAGACTGCAATAAGTTCTGTTCACTTTTTGATTCAGTAAATGGACGACTGTGGTTTCAAGTCTCTTGGCTCTAAATTAGACACACTTTCATTTCCAGCTTACTGACTGTGAATGTCTGGTTCAATGGTGTGGACCAGACATGGGGCAAACTAAGGCCCGGGGTCCAAACGTGTCCAAATCATATTATGAATTTATATTATTCTACTTCTGCCTTTTCCCTGTAATACCTAAAAGCCTTTCAGCGTCTCTCCTGGACATTTCCATGTCATTTATCTTAGTTCACAAAAACACTCCATCTATCTGCTCTTGACCCGCCCCCCCCCCCCCCGGGGGGGTTGTGCCGTGGCCCACTAGTCAAAAGGTTTGCCCACTCCTGGTACAGACGATACTGTATAAGAAATGGTCGCAGCCATAGACTGTCGTTGCTCAGAAGTTTCCTGTTTCAGAAACTTTTTTTTTTCTGGTTCTTTTTGGATTTCTGGTTCCAGTCCAACCATTCTGGTCTCCCATGTCTGTGTTTCCCAGTGAGGATGGTGTTCTTTGGGATACATGCTTTTCCTCTTTCTATAAACATAGACATTACATCTTTTTGGTCTTTTCCACGTTGTCCCTCAACGATCCAGGGAGAGAATTTTTTTATTTTTATTATTATTAGTATTTGTACCCGAGACAAAAAACATGGCAGAAGACTTCATGGTCATACTGTGAGACAAAAAATCATGGCAGAAGACTTCATGGTCATACTGTTAGCCGTAGCTCCATCCATTTCTCATATACAGTCTATGGCTCAGAAATAATATTAAATTAATGTCGACAGTGGTTGGAAAACAAACAAGGCTGTTAGTAGAATTGTATAGAAAAGCATTGATGAAATATAGTATAATCTTCTGAAAAGTTTCCAGATGGTTCTGTATGATTGTGTATAAAAACAAACGGTTACCTGTAGTTGCTCAGAGATTCGCTGCACAGCCTCATGCTGTGGCTTTTCCTTTGGAACGCCGCCTGATCGACTCCAGACTGAGACTCCAGTGTCACGTCTGCATCACTGTGTTCGACACCAACGCTGTACGTGACGTGTGCGTCACGAAGCGCAGCTCATTGTCATGGAGCATCTATTAACTTGACAGGAAATGGAAGGAAGTGACAGGGTTCTGATGGTGGCTGAATGTAAACATAGAGTCTATGGTTTCAAGTGCTGACGTGTGTTTCCGGACGCCGCCGCGTGTCCGGGCGTTTTATTTTATAAAGAGTTAATGATATTCCGGCTGCGATTCTTAGATCTGATCTACTGAAGTCGACTGCTGGAGGACTGGGATTATATTTGAAAATCACTGTAGAGGAATGAACCAGAGGAATGTTGCCCCCGCTGAATATTTTTGAACAGACACAAAGCCCGTCCTCCTGCAGAACTGTGTGTATTTTTGTGTCGATCTGAAGACTCTGCCGCGTGTACTCGTCCGTGATGTGAGCATCTGTCTCTGTTTGTATTTTTATACTCATGAGATGATTCAAAAGGAATCCTTCGTCGTCTGATCATGCTTTGGTGTTGGGAACAGTTTTGTGTTTTGTTTTGTTTTTTATCTGTCAGGGCCTTACGTTAAAACAGTTGATGATGAGGTACAACTGTACACAGATATTAACTCTGATGAGGATTTTGTTCCTGGAAGGCCAAGGCATAGTGGGTGGATGGGGGGGTGGGGGGGGGGATCATGCTGTGTACTGTCGTCACATGTGCTCGTGTGCAGCTTCATGTTTGAAACCTTGTTTTTTTTTTGTCTTTTTGGACCTGATGACTGGACTCCTGTAGCTGTTGGCCACCACTGAACTGCCTACTAGCATTTACACATCAAATCCTCTGAACCAGACCACTCCTCCCATGGTCCCATGCTGGTTTTATGAGTTTGACCTACTTTTTTCTGGGTCAACATAATTTATATGGAGAGGATTTTTTTTATTTTTTTTCTTCCTTTGTACTATTTCTGAGGTGGTTTGAGTTTCATGGGTTTACACACCAGAAAGGAAATATTTGTTTAACACCAAAACAAAAAGAGCAGCACAGTGGGAGTCAACAACAAGAACTGATGCTACGATTGGGAAAATTAAGATGTTCAAAATATTTAATGCAATATTGAGAAATAAGGGTTTGTCATAGGATACTAAATAATAAGGACTCAGAAGATTTTAGATTGCTGAAATATAAATGTTTTATAATCTACATTTAAACAAACACATTGAAAATGAGGGAAACATAAACTACTGAATTTATTTGGCCACAGAATTAAAACAGTATCTTTAACACAATACCTTTTTCTTTCATTTTGTCTTTGGACGACATTTATTACACAAAACCTTCAGACCTAGAACTAAAAGAAAAAAACTAAAAAAAAAAGAAAACTGAAGCTCAAATCATAGGTGACCCTGTCATACATTTGTATTCATGAATGTTGATGTCTTATTTGTAAAAGAAAAATAACAATTGAGTTCAATGTGATGTGGGACAAAGGTTTTAGTGCAATGGACACGTCTTTTTCCGTTCTTCGGCATCCTCTGCTTTTCGAAGTTTACTGCTTGACTTAAGTACTGCTGTTTATTTACCTGGTCCGTTTGTATCATTTTTATATGTGGAAACACAAACCTGCTTTGCACTGGTTTTAATAAGAAAATCTCAAGTGAGACTGAGACGGACGTCTGATTTCTGTTGAGCTCAGTGAGTGAAAATAATCTACAGAGAGTGAATGTACGTTAGTATTTAGCAGAGAGGATCGGTTTCATCCTAAAATAAAACAAGACTGCTGTAAATACCTCGGCTTTTTCTCTTTGCTCAAATAGTCTAAACAAACAAACAATATATAACAGTGATGAAATGGTACCATAGAAAACTCCTCTGCACCGCAGGCAGGTCAGTGGCACATGATACTGTAGGTCTATGAAGGCCCTGTTTGAGACTGGTGTAGAATGAAGCCTGGTGTTGTCCTGCCGGGGGCCGAGGGCCTTATTGTTGGTATACTCATCACTGTAGAATCAGTTTGTTCTGTGGGTCGAACATTCAGCAGCACTTTCCATCCTTGGCAGAAATGTGTTCTGTGTCGCCCGTTGACACTGTTAGCCATTATTTTTTTCCAGTGGTATTTTTATTCTGTCCTCTATTTAACCTTTAAATTATTATCTGCAGGTTTTCGCTTTTACTACGTCGTCAACAGTTAGCAAGTAAATACAGTAATAATGACAGAGAGGTATTTTTTTATAAAGCAACATGGAGTAATTGTAAGGTGTCTGATGTTCATCCCGTCTCACAGGTGTCTCAGACACGTTTTGACGTCGTGATTTATCCCAATAATTTGACTTTGAACTTTTGGACTTACTCTCATTTACCACAGTAAAGGGAACATTTATTATAAAGGAATTTCTACTTCTGTTAAATGAAGCGGTAAAGTGGAGACGTCCGTTATTATTCAGGCCAAACGGAGACGTCCAGATGTAATGACCTGAACTTATCTCTGCAGCAGCAGCTAATGTTCGCTCATTCACAGCGCCGTGACTTTACAGACCACGTACTGAGGTCAGCGTGGAGTCGAAAGTCTGAATGAAGAGTCTGGTATTATTGGAAAGGACGTCAGATTTAATTTGAATGTAATAACAGACATTTCTCATTAGGTTTTTAGCCACAGATTAAATGGTGGAGTCATAAAGACCTGGACTTTTGATCATTTATTATGTATGTAAAGATCAAGGACATCGTTGGATGACTTTACTCCTGCTTTTGGCGGCAGTTGATGTAAAATAAGCCACGTCTTTGTACAGACGTGTGTCAGTGACAGAGGGAAGACTGTGGACAAGTGGACAAGGGGACAGCAGCTGCTGGTACATGACACGGCCGAGACTCCAGCCTGTTAGGAAATGTCAGCGCAGGTTGTTTCGGTACTCCAGATTCACGTGATGTGTGACCTTTGACCTTTAAACACCTTCTGTCCAACTACAGATGTCTTTCGGTACTCCAGATGAGCTGAGCTCAAGACTAACAGGTGTGACCTTTGACCTAAACACCTTCTGTCCAACTACAGATGTAAGTCAGTCCCCCGTCCCCCTTTGTCTCCCACCAATTTTTAAACACACAATACTGATGTTCAAGGCACCACCTGGAACTGCCAGTAGGAAAAAACAGAGGAAACGAAGTTCGTTGGTCAGTTTTCTACATCCTGTTAAAAACGTGAATCATAATGTACAGACGTGCAGACCTGATGTCACACAGAGGTCATCACAAAACAGCTGTGGATTAATCATGATCAAATAAATATTCCAGATTAATCGTGATTAATTGAGATAAATCAAAAATCCCAAATAATCATTTAATTTTTTTAATATATTTCTGGAACACTGTGTATTAGAGCAACAATGAGTGAATATACCATGGATTTATTTAACATATGGCGTCAGTTTCATTCTGACGATTAACGTTTTAATCCGATGGATCGTCAGTGATAAATCTTGGTTTTATATATTAGTTACAAATGAAAACAAACCCGTTTTGTGGGATTCTGAGGTTTCGTATTCACGACCCTCCTACGTTCTAATCCTTCCACAGCAAATGTTGTGCTTCATAATCTGTGCTGTGTAATCCAAGCCACAGTCCCACGCAGACGTTGGTCTAAGTCTTTAAGCTAGGCAAAGATCTTGGCGGTGAACTCTCTGAAACGTTTGGCGTACTGCTCGGGGTGAACGGTGGAGATTTCTGCTCCCGCCTGCAGAAAATACACATAAACATAATTGATCAATAGAAAGTATGCGGAGAGTGAAGGCGTCCTGTAACGCGGTGCAGGATGGAGCTGTAAAGCATGCAGACTGTGTGCTAAGCACTTCCAGCACAGAAGCCTGATCTCTCACCCCGTGTTTGACAGCCTTGGCAGCGTGAGCCGCTTTCTTCTTGGTATCGTACTGTGTCAGCACGTCAATCAGACCCATGAAATACACCTCTCTCCGGGGCGCACCTACACGGGAGTGATTCACAGCACAGGGTTGGTGATATTGATCCTAACCGCTGCAGCCCAGGGTGGGGTAATAGTTTGAGAGTGTTACAGCTACATTTTTTAGAGAAATCCGAGTCGAAGTCCGGGCCTCACCTACAGAGCTCTGAACAGCGTACACGTCCACGTACGGGTCAAACTCCCCAGGACCCATGGGTTTGAAGGAGTTCATGTAGCCGGCGATGCCCTGGGGCGACGTGGAGCCCGGAGCAGGGGGCAGCCCGTTTTCATCATCATCATCTTCGTCTTCGTGATACAACTCCTCCTCTTCATCCTCCTCATCTTCCTCCTCCTCCTGCTCAGCCTGTTCAACATCATGGATGCCCAGCAGCAGGCTGTAGTCCATCAGCTTCATACGGGCGAGAAACTGCAGGAAAAAGACAGAGACGTATGATGAAAAAAAAAGAACGATATTACCTTTTTGAGCTGCAATGCTGCCATCTAGTGTCTTTCACTTTTATATACAGCCGTTTTTCCCCAAAATTATTTTAGGGAACACATCATTTGGCAAAACCCAGACATTGCCCAATATTATCAGACATCCCTAGTTTTTTTCCCCCTACATTTCGATGTGGACACTCCATCAAACCGTCTTTGACGTTAATGTTCATTTCATTCCTACCTCAGTGTCTCTGTTCAGTTTGTCCAAAATCTTTTCCTTCTCCTCTTCACCCACATAAACCTTTTGCATCTTGTTCCTGAAGTCCATGTCCTTGTACGTGGGCAGCTCTTTATCCTGCAGACAGAGTCACGGGTGAAACCTCGGTACATCTAAAGACGTGGCCCTCAAACACCGCCAACTGTCATAAAGTCACATGAACGACATGAACGTCTGCGTCACCGCGGTTCAGTCGGATTAGAAAGTACATCCATCAAGAAGACTCCCTGTAGATGCTGGCACTAATGTGGACATGAGGCGACAGATGACAAGGAGGGGTGGGGGGGGAGGTGTTGTGAATAAACCACTTGGGTGGAAGTGTGATTTAGGTCTGCTCTTTTCCTGTGCATATGGATGTTTTACAGCTCGTCATCTGGGTCAGAGTAGCTGCAGGCCAAACATAAGAGCGTCTGATCTTCCTTCTCACCATCTGATAAGAATTTTTCTTTCATATAAATCACTGAAAGTCTCTTCTTAAAACCACTCTGATGTGTTCACACTGTATAAAGCTGTCTGTTCTCAAATCTCAGCTTTTATGACATTCTTAAAAATTTTAAGACATTTCTTCCTTTTTATTCTCACACATTTTTTCTACTTCTAATCTCTAACATGTTGTTTACAAATGTGTTTCAAGCCTCTGTAGGTTATGTGTAGCAGTGGATTCATTATTATTATTATTCATTAAAGGAAAATTCCATAAACATTTTAAAAATGTAAATTTTCAAGGTATAGAGATAAAATATTGAACAGAAATTTAGACAGAACTAAACTACACTTCTTCAGGAATTCTGCTGTTGATAATTAGCTTCAGTCTGGTGAGAATCTAGTTCATAATCTGGAGTTCTGTGTTAATGGAGACACTAATGTGTTTGTTATCAGGCTCAATTTGGTGAATCTGAATGATTTTAAGGTTCCACGTCAACTGGTCAGACTTCAGACAAAAGTCTTTGAAAACCATTCAGAAATTAGTTGAAGGTCAAAAATCAATTTTGCACTTACCTTCTCTTTGAAACTTGCCTCTCGAGACACCAGGGAGCCCTAACCAATAAAAAGACACCGTCGTTGATAACTGTTCTCCTGCAGGCAGTTTTCTATCCATCACACTCTGCCGTGCAGCCGTACATCAATAAATTACAGACATTCAGACAGTAAAACCCTCTCCGTGCCCTGTGCCTGAAGTAAAACATTTGTCAACTTAGGTTAGGTACTTTTTACAATTTAAATTCCCATTGTACTCACAAAAACTCATTTCCATATATTTCCTAACAGTCCTGCTGTGGTGAAGCTCAGGGAGTGAAGAAAACGACTCGGTGTTTATGTTTAAGACGTTAGAATTAGAGCCGGTTCTAGATATTGTACCGTTTGGAGTTGTAAAAAACAATGAGTTAAAGAAAATCTCATTTACTAAAATGTCAAATGATCTTGTCTGTTCTGATTAGAATCAAAGTTTTTACATTGGTTTATAAAGCTTCACTTTTTCTATCAAAGGTGAAATAGAAAGAAGTTGCACAGATTTTTTTTTATAGCAGCCTAAATTGGGTACATTTAAATTCGTCCTTTTTGGTTTAATCTTGGAGAAACGAATTTACTACACAGTAAAATGTCACGTGTTCGAGGCTGAAGCGACGTAGATGTATTTAACTACCTCGTGATGTACCACTAGAGGGAGCCCAGGTACCACCAATGACATGTGTACCTTGGTTTGAGAACCACTGAGTTAAACGCGTGTTCTGTTTGATTTGGCAACATCTAGTGGTAAAGCTACATATCTCTACACAAGTATGTGGGAAAATACTGTATATAGTCGGCTCACTGTCATATAAATGACATATAATAATGACTGTGACTGTGCGGCCTGTGAACATGAAATACATGGCTCACTGTCATATAAATGACATATATTAATGACTGTGACTGTGCAGCCTGTGTACATGAAATACAAAAATATATATATATATACCTGTCATGACTGGGTGCTGATTTAATCACCGTCAAACAACAATACTTCAAAAAGTACTACAAACTGTCTGACAGTACATGGTATCTTTAGGATTCCTCTCTGCAGGGGTACCTTAAGGTCGTACTTCTTGTGGACATGCAGTCTATGGCTGAACACGTTCCTCATGACCAACAGGTAGGTGTCCTCACTCTCCACCGTCACTCTGTACATGGCCAGGAACTGAGGCAGTAGAGTACTGCCGTAGCAGGTGACGATGTGCTGGGAGAGAAGAAGAAAAACAAAACAAAAACAAAAAAAAACTGAAATGCTGAGTCACTGAAATAAGAGACAATCATTTAATGTTACTTGTTGTTTTAAGACGAGGTCATTTATTAAAAGAAAAACAAAAACATCATTGATCCCATGCTGAGGAAAATCTTGCGTTAACAGCAGATCTACTGCAACAGGCTGCCCCCTGGAGGCACCAAGGCGGGCATGGTAACTGCTACACTATGGAACCACTGATCTATAATCTACAATATATATGTATATATATATATATAAAGTCTAATGTGGCTCTGTATCATCATCTATAACTAACTGTATTTCACTGTGTTTCCTCAGTTTTGACGTTACTGTGAAAGGAAATTCAAAATGTCGTCTGCCACGGCGGACGTTTCCACTCGTACCTGGTGATACTCTGACAGAATGCTGTGCATTTCCTCCACCTCCTCACTGGACACTTCCTTCACCACCAGCGTGTGGTCGTGTGATGTCAGCAGATGTCCTTCCTCTCTGACTGGAGGACTGCGGGTCAGAGACACCTGTTGGTGAGTGAGGGGAGAGCACCACAACAGGGTCACTTATGAACTGTATGAACAGTGTAATGTCAGTCTTTACTGATGGATGTTGTTAATGTTTGACTGTGTTTCTCTGTAACACTCGGCTCACAGGATCATGCTGTGCTAAACAAATGTGCAGGGAGCCGAGCAGACCATGACTGTGTGTGTGTGTGTGTCACCTGACACATGGAAATAATACACAAAGAAAATTCAAATGCAGCTGAAGCAGCAGGTTAAAGAATCATGTCGGAATCGTTTCAAATCAAGAAGACCACAACAAAAATCAAGTTGATTTTTTTTTTCTTGTTCCGTTTTAGTCAGTTTACAGTCTCACCCGAAAATCCTGGTCGTCGATGCCAAAATGTTCTCGCAGGTTTCTGAACACTTGAGGGCAGTACTCTTTGAACTTGAACTGACCAGGAAGATTCTCTCTGAGTGACAAATGTGGTAGTTAATGAAATATAATAACATATATTGTCTTCTGAAAATGTATAATTATCATTATTATGATGATTATTATTATTGCAAGTCTCAAGGTCACTGTACAAAGAGACATATATACAATAAAAAGATACAGTTCAATACAGTTGAGGGACAGAACACAATAGGAGAATGACATATTAACAGGTGATCTTTTGAATGATCTGTCTGAATACTTTGTCAGACAGACTGAAGAATTTGTCTGTTTTTCTTGAATTAAAAACAACATGAGAAGTTAAAAAAACACAGTATTTTTTTGTTCCCACTTGTGTTTTTAAGTCTGTTCATAACCTGGATTCCTGGGTGGATTAAAGGATTATTCAAAGCCACCCAGTTTGTTCTCGACTCCGTCCTTACAGCGAGTGCTCCTCACAGATGAGACCGCTCTCATGAATCTTTATGATTTCCTAACATGTCACACTGTGTCTAACTGACGACCGTGCTCTCTGAGCCCTTTAAACATTTTCAGATGACTTCATCAACTTTTATTACCCGCCTGGCACCTGTTAATATCCTGGCTGGGTTACAGCTTCTTACTGGATGAAAATTGCGCTGTGACGTTCCACACAATTATCATCCACACGCATGGATGTGTTTCATAGTGTTTTCTGTCTCTCGGTCCGTGCACCAGCTCAATGTCACGGTCACTGTTGATGATAACAGTCGTAGCTGCGGCGGTGTCGAGGGGAGCCCCTACTGGCTGCTGTCTACGATAAGCACAATTATGAAGGCCAGAGAAATCTGAGCAAACGAACGGGATGAAGGCAGACAAAACAGGGGAGAGGAGGGTGGAGGAGGAGAGGAGGAGGAGAGGAGGAGGAGCACTGTACTTGTTGAAGAGGTGGTTGCAGACTTTTATCTTGGCACAGGCTTTGAAATTGTCTGGAAGCAGCATGACAGGAACAGGAACCTGGATCAGCTCAGTGATCTGCACGAGATGATGATCGGTGGTTAAAATGTGAAAAAAGCAAATATATTCCCCCATGTGTCCATCACATACATTAAGCCAATGGTTCCCAAACCCTTTCTCTTGTGCCCCCTGTGGTTCATATGAAAATTTCCCGTCTTTTGTTAAACATTTGGACAATATGCTGCGGGACATTTTAGTCATTAATTCCATCCGCGCTTGTGGCCCCCCAGGGGGCGCGCCCCCCACTTTGAGAACCTCTGCATTAAGCGCTGGTGTTTAGCCCTGTTTCAATGTTTACAAAATGTAACAATGGGTCAATTGTTCGACCACCAGAGTTTTATAGAGAAACAAAGTGGTAACATTTCAGTTTCATTCTAGGATAAACATCTCTGGAACCTGGAACTGTGATTTAACAACAGATTATTTTTGTAATACACAACATGAATATTTGATAAATATATTCATTTTACGCTCACGTGTAAACGCTCCACGTACCGTGTGGTTGACCCCCCACATCAGGACGCTCACCACGGGGTCACCAGCTCTGAACACCTTCACTTTCTGCTGAACAAAGTGTTTCTTCTTGGTTTTACTTTTAGGCGCCAAGTTGTTGAGATGGTTGGAGGAGGAGGAGGCAGGAGGAGCAGAAGGAGGAGGAGGTGACGGAGGAGGAGGAGGGAAAGACATTCTGGCTCTTTCACAGGTAACTGTCCGTGTCTCCCAGTGTGGACTGCTGTGGAGTCGTGTGTGTGGCTCAGTCCCTCTGAGTATGTACAGTATGTAAAGTAGGCTGAGGTCCGCCTTCAGCTGGGACTCTGTGTTAACTCCTGCCCCACGGCACTCAGAGGTGGACCACTGCTGCCACCCAGGTCCAACTGACCACATTTATTTGGCCCATAGACGACTGATGACAGTCTGAAGTGACCACATGTACAAATGACTATTTTGGCTGACACTGTTGGGGTAGAAGACGGATGGATGGATGGATGGATGGATGGATGGATGGATGGATGGCAGCAGTGGTAGTCCTAGACTTTTTCGTCCTGGGCTAAACTGCCCCCTAGCGCCAACAATGTAATATGTAATTAGCATGATAACGTTGGTTTCAAATGGTTTTAATTGGTTGTTCATGTTTTGAAATATGGCTGTATATTGTACAGTCACCCTAAGGGAGTCGGGGGGGGGGCAGGGGGACACGTCACTAATATCAGAAACCTTACCGTATTTTTTTTTTTCAGGTTGAAAATGATTCTACAGTACGAGCCCTGCACACTAAGGGAAGTGGGATTTTAAACGAATACTTAGCATCACCTGCAGGCCAGGAAGGGTACCTACATGCTAACTGTTGACATGCACAGAATACCAAAATAAATAAAGTATTCCATACTTAACCTAACATCCATATACTGTATGAAATTAATACATATATTTATATAATAACATACTATATGTGTATGACACTTGTTTGACTAGAACGGTCATTTTATACAATTTACACATAAAATATGAACTAATATAAATAAATATGAATATATAATAATATAAAATATACACATATATTGACTTATGCTCAAATGTAAATGCATGTAGAAGTTACAGGTTTCGAATCCCCCTAAAACTGTCTTCCTTTTTAAGAATCATAACATTTAAAAAAGAAAATAGAAGTATTTAATTTGTACCAAAAGAAAAGGTTTATTTCCATGGAATTATTTCTCAGTGCTGTTTAGCATAGCATTAGCAGACAAAAACATGAATTGTTTCTCAGGTCTTGTTGTTATACTATTTATTTGTATCTGTCATTTGTTTGTAGGTTTGTACATCCGTTTCTCTGATGATGAAGAATAACTGCAATATAGTTGTATGTGAAAAAAAAACATGAGGATTTTAAATAATACCATAGTTGTTTACTCTTGTGGATGATCCAAATTGTCAGAAATGTCATGATAAATAAAAATATATTAAAGTAACATAAATAAGGGGAACATTGGATTATGTACAAATATTACAGTAATATCGTTTTAGTGGTTTTAAGGTAGAAAAACTGAAAAAAAATATAAATAGTTACGTTGAGTGCATACAAAATACTCAGTTATACTGTGTGTAAATGGACATTTCTTTCACAAATAAACCAAACACTTTCCCAGCTGTTACTGTAAAACATCAGACAGTTGTGTAGATAGAACGTGTGAGAAAAATATGTGCAAAGCAAATTGACAGTCGACATCATTGTAGCCTAAAGTACGTTCAGTAGAGGGCGCTAGGAGACAATGTTGTTGTTGTTGTTGTTTTTCGTGGTGTGAAGCTGCTGCTGGCTGATGGAGAGTGGAGTGGGAGGTGTCCTCGATGCTGGCTGTTCCTTCATCTTCCTTAAACATCAGACTGTTTTTGAAGCGTCAGCCTCCGTTCACTTCACAGCCGTCTGTGTGCGTTTTAACAACTCAGGCTGCCTTTGTTTTTGGCGACTGAAGTGACCGGCATGCCGTTCTCGTTCACACACCAACACTTGCCGCGCTGCTTTCCCCGAGACGACCAACACTGCAGACACAGAACAAACTGTTTCACAGCTGGACAGTAAACGCAACACGCGCACCTGAAATAATATGATGTCAGTGACTTCACTGACCGCGTCATTTAACAAAGCACAGCTTCAGTTATCCCAATAATACAGAAACAAACGGTCCATTTGAACTCTGTCTACTTTTGAAAAAAAAGTTTGATATGGGAAAATAGAATAGAAAATAATGGAAAAAATATTTAACTAACTTTGAAGCTTTTTTACAGCAAAAAAAACAGAAAAACGTTCCACTGGCGGAGGTGGAACAATTACGCGCATGCTCAGCTCCTGAACCGTAGCAGGAGTTGATCCAGTGGTAAATGCGGTTGTAATCCGGTGGCGTGTTGTAATAATTAAGGTATTAATTTGTAAATGGGGTTTTTTTAGCTGTTCTGTAAAAACACCAAATTAATTTCCTTTGTCATTCTGCCTCTTAAGTTAGATTAATGTTTTTGAAAGCCATCAACTCACCTGCTTCCTTCTGAAGAAGCCCCTCCTGTCACAGTTGGGCATATAGATATCATGGTGCAACTTAAATAAATGGGCCTCCAGACCTTTGATCAGTGTATTCAGCAGTTTACGACACGGTGCCTGAATGAAGGAGACAAACAGAAGGGTTTGGTTAAAGATTTGTTGATAAGCTGTTAAATTTAACCACAGGGAAGGTGTTTTTTTTTTTTTTTACCTCCTGCGGATCGTCGGTGGCTGTTGCATCTATGTAGGATTAAAAACAAACAAACATAAAAACTGGTTATATTTTACTACTTACAAAAACAGCATACATTTCTGTTCACTGTGAGATTGTCTACGGCTAAGAGTTACTGCCTAAAAGATATGGTTTTAGAGTTGATCATTAAAACTGCACAGTGCCCAGTCTCTGTGGTTATATTTTAGTGTTAAATGAGAAACATCGGCCGATTTCTGGGTTATACAACACAGCTCCACATTTGTTTGTTGGCTGTAAATGCAGCCCAGCAGTTAGGAAAGACCAACACTGCATCTCATTCCAATGTTTTTTTCCCCCTCAGAATATCCTTACAAGTGTAGTGTAACATGAACTCCTTCCTAATAGAACTGCAACACATGTTTGTGACTTAGGCATCTGTTTATATTTTTTTATAATTGAGTTAGACATATAAAGAGCTGTCAAATCCTGCATTCAATGTTAAACAACAGAACTATGAATTAAAATAAACTGCAGTTCTTTAATAAGAATTAAATCTAAAATCAAAAACCTTTGGATCAAAATTTTACAATTTTAAAATTATTAAAAATGATCTGCCAATTTGTTTTGGCTGAGAAATAACGATTACATTTTTTTTAATACACCCTTATTTTGCGAAGTGAAAATGTTTTACTTACCGGCCCCGTTGAACACTGTAGTCGGGCTAGGACTGCTGGAAGCGCTGCAGACTCCTCTGCCTTCCAGCAGGGCACGGAGAGGCCTGGGTTCATCCTCTGGTGGCGCGCATCGAAGACCGGGAGCACAACCCTGAGTGTAGACCCCACATGACGCGCCGAGGGCGAGAGCAGAGCCATTGGATGGTGTCGAGTGACTCTGTGAAGGCTTTGTTTTGCAGGCAGTGCAACCTCTGGATGGTGTGGTCAGTGGACTTGACCAAGCCGTCTGCAGTGAAATCAGCAGCATGAGGTTTAAACACAGAAGCATCCTGCACCTAGAGTCGTCCTAAACTAATAATGACAGCTCCTTCTCTCTGTGTCTTAAGTTCTACAAACTGCGGTTTGTCTGTTTCAGAAGGGCTGTATAATTCCCCCGAGCCAAGACAAGGTGATAATGAGGCTGACAGACACCACTGGCTGTGGCTTATAAAGAGCCCAAAGCAGCAGGAAAAGGTAAGGGAGGGTACGTGATGGAGAATGTTAGTTTCTCTCTCATTTTCACACAGTAGAGCACACACCCCATTTCTGTCAGACACATACACGCACTAATGCATGCTCATACCATTTGTTGTCTGTCATACCACAGGATAATAATGTTTTCTGCACTGACATAAATCACATGTGAACACCGGGTATGCTACTCCATTGCTC